CTGGCATATGTACCACAGCGTCTCCAGCGCTTTCGAACGGCAATGGCCGTGGCTGTCTCCTCCTGATTGGTGGAGTTGGCCCAATAGCCGTAGCGCCACCGTCCTGACGTCAGGACAGTGTTCAAATCTGGATCAGTTTTTATCAGATCCGTTGCAGCCCCTTTTTTAGAGATTTGGGTATGGAGGAAAATAGAGAGGGTTGTGTTTTCTGACACTTGGTGAGTTCCCTGGAACACCGGGGACACATATTCATGTAGAAAAGACGTACAAAAGTGCATTTTGCATGATAGGTCCCCTTTAAAGTAGAACATAAAAAATACTCTGTACAGTAAAAGTCCTGCATTTAAAACCTCACTAAAGTAAAAGTACAAAAGTATTGGGATCAAAATAAACTTCAAGTCCCAAAATAAATATAATAATATGTGTGTTTATTTATCCGTGGGTTTATATTTAATAATCTGAATCTGTGAAAAGCTGTCAGATCAATCAAGTGGAGTAGAAGTATAAAGTAGAATGAAATAAAAGAACTTAAGTAAAGTACAAGTATCTCATATTTGTCCTTAAGTACATGAGTACATCACCACTGTGTACTAATACTGCAGTGTTGCAGGTACATGTCGTGCATTAGTTTCAGCGGGTTAGAAACTGAGCTTCACTTTCAGCTTCTGAATGTTCCTCACAGCTAACAGAACCCCCCCTAAGAGACCCTAATGACAACAACAACAAGCTCATAGTGAATAACATATCGCCTCATCAGCATATTTAACACTCTGAGGTTTTGTACCGTTTTCAGGCGACTTGTAATCTGTTCTAGAAAAACGATGTTTGTTTCTTTATTTCACGAAGCGTATAAACAAACAATGGATGTCTTTCATGAACATTTATCCGTGATGGAAGTAGACTGAGATGTTCATTTATCTGTGATGGAAGTAGAGTGAGATGTTCATTTATCTGTGATGGAAGTAGAGTGAGATGTTCATTTATCTGTGATGGAAGTAGACTGAGATGTTCATTTATCTGTGATGGAAGTAGACTGACATGTTCATTTATCCGTGATGGAAGTAGACTGAGATGTTCATTTATCTGTGATGGAAGTAGACTGAGATGTTCAGTTATCTGTGATGGAAGTAGAGTGAGATGTTCATTTATCTGTGATGGAAGTAGACTGAGATGTTCATTTATCTGTGATAGAAGTAGACTGAGATGTTCATTTATCTGTGATGGAAGTAGACTGACATGTTCATTTATCTGTGATAGAAGTAGACTGAGATGTTCATTTATCCGTGATGGAAGTAGACTGAGATGTTCATTTATCTGTGATGGAAGTAGAGTGAGATGTTCATTTATCTGTGATGGAAGTAGACTGAGATGTTCATTTATCTGTGATGGAAGTAGACTGAGATGTTCAGTTATCTGTGATGGAAGTAGAGTGAGATGTTCATTTATCTGTGATGGAAGTAGACTGAGATGTTCATTTATCTGTGATAGAAGTAGACTGAGATGTTCATTTATCTGTGATGGAAGTAGACTGACATGTTCATTTATCCGTGATGGAAGTAGACTGACATGTTCATTTATCTGTGATAGAAGTAGACTGAGATGTTCATTTATCTGTGATGGAAGTAGACTGAGATGTTCATTTATCTGTGATGGAAGTAGACTGAGATGTTCATTTATCTGTGATGGAAGTAGACTGAGATGTTCATTTATCTGTGATGGAAGTAGACTGAGATGTTCATTTATCTGTGATGGAAGTAGACTGACATGTTCATTTATCTGTGATGGAAGTAGACTGAGATGTTCATTTATCTGTGATGGAAGTAGAGTGAGATGTTCATTTATCTGTGATGGAAGTAGACTGAGATGTTCATTTATCTGTGATGGAAGTAGACTGAGATGTTCATTTATCTGTGATGGAAGTAGACTGAGATGTTCATTTATCTGTGATGGAAGTAGAGTGAGATGTTCATTTATCTGTGATGGAAGTAGACTGAGATGTTCATTTATCTGTGATGGAAGTAGAGTGAGATGTTCTAGGAGATAGAGATTATAGATCTGATGATGCATCCCATGAAGCATTGCATGACCTCTGTGGACCAATCAGAGGCTGTCGTTGGGGAAGCATCAAAGTTCTTCTTTCACCTTCTTGACGTAAAAGCGCCAGGACTTTTGTTTTAAATATTGTAGATATTGATTTTGAAATATTTAGTTCTTTGTCCATGGTCACCAAGACGTGAAATAACACTTGTCTGATGTCAAGAAAATTATAGATATATATAGATATTATATATATCTATATATATATATATAAGCTGAAGTTATGGAGAGCCAAAGTATTGGCTGAAATAATAAGCGGAAAGAATAAAGATTTGAAGTACTATAGTGGAATGCTGTGGCACAGCATTCACACTAATGAGACAGAAGTTCAAAAGAATAAACAAGACTAAAATGTTATCCCTCAGAAATGTGTTGGAATCCCTCAGAGAAAAGCAGTCTATCATATCTATAGATATATAGATATATATATATATAGATATATATATATCTATATATATATATATATATATATATATATATATATATATATATAGATATATATATTTATATATAGATATTATAGATATCTATATATATATATCTATATATATATAGATATAGATGGAGCAGCTCGTTGAAGTTCTCCCAAAAAAAATGTTTTAAACCTGCCATAATTCCCAAACCCTACACTCCTCAGACATCATTTTGTACAAGCAACAGGTGGCAAAATTGTCAGATATAATCCTCAATGCATTCTTAATGGGACTCAGTGCTGCAGTTGGTAAATCGCCATAAATCGTCACCATGGTAACCTTTCATCTCTGGGTTTACACACACAGGTGTTTGTAAACATTCATTCACTACTACTTACATTTAATATCTTTATTTAACTCCTAGAGCCTAATTTCAGCTGCAGGAACCATTCAAATATCAAACTATTCAGCCTTTTCAGCACATGATGGGAAACTTTCAACTTTTTCAAAATATGTTATACTTTTTAAAACATTCAGCTTTTTAAAGTCTTTTTTTAACATGGAAGTCATTGCAATGCATTTGAGCTGTAACAATTCACACACACACACTCTCTCTATCTCTCTCTCTCTCTCAGACAGACAGACAGACACACACTCTCTCTCTCACACACACACACACACACACACACACACACACACACACACACACACACACACACACACACACACACACACACTCTGCCTCTCTCTCACAGACACATCAAGAGAAGAGAGAGAGGGCGATCAAGAGAAGTGAGAGAGGGTGATAGAAGAGTGATCGGGTGATCAAGAGAAGAGAGAGGGCGATCAAGAGGAGAGAGAGAGGGCGATCAAGAGAAGAGAGAGAGAGGGCGATCAAGAGGAGAGAGAGAGGGCGATCAAGAGGAGAGAGAGAGGGCGATCAAGAGGAGAGAGAGAGAGGGCGATCAAGAGGAGAGAGAGAGGGTGATCAAGAGAAGAGAGAGGGCGATCAAGAGAAGAGAGAGAGAAGAGAGAGAGGGCGATCAAGAGAAGAGAGAGAGGGCGATCAAGAGAAGAGAGAGAGGGTGATCAAGAGAAGAGAGAGTGAGATCAAGAGAAGAGAGAGAGAAGAGAGAGAGGGCGATCAAGAGAAGAGAGAGAGGATGATCAAGAGGAGAGAGAGAGGGCGATCAAGAGAAGAGAGAGAGGGCGAGCAAGAGAAGAGAGAGAGAAGAGAGAGAGGGCGATCAAGAGAAGAGAGAGAGGGCGATAGAAGAGAGAGAGGGCGATCAAGAGAAGAGAGAGAGGGCGATAGAAGATTGAGAGGGTGATCAAGAGAAGAGAGAGGGCGATCAAGAGAAGAGAGAGAGAAGAGAGAGAGGGCGATCAAGAGAAGAGAGAGAGGGCGATTAAGAGAAGAGAGAGAGGGTGATCAAGAGAAGAGAGAGTGAGATCAAGAGAAGAGAGAGAGAAGAGAGAGAGGGCGATCAAGAGAAGAGAGAGAGGATGATCAAGAGGAGAGAGAGAGGGCGATCAAGAGGAGAGAGAGGGCGATCAAGAGAAGAGAGGGCGATCAAGAGAAGAGAGAGAGTAATGTAACCTCCTAATGTAATGTATAACTCCTATGAAAATGTTCAAAAAGGGCTCAAACTTCACATGTGTGCTAACAGTCCAGCCGTGAAGACATCTACGGGACAGTTTTGAGATTTCTTCAAATGCCGTTGCCATGGCAACACAATGCTCACCATGAAACACGGTTTTCTCATAATTTCAGTGAAAATGCTCGAAATGGCCCAAAACTTCACAGGTTTGGTAACGATGCAGCCATCAACACATCTAAGCGTATTATGGGGTGTCATCAAATGCCGTTGCCATGGCGACAGATAATTCACCATCAAGTTAGTTCAAAAGTTTGCAGTTCAAATATTCTGCTGCTTTCCCAAGCCTTTTTACTTTCTTTTCTCATCTTAATACAAATTCATTCACTACTACTTACATCTGATATTTAACTCCTTCAGCCTATTTTCAGCTGCAGAAACCATTCAACTATTACATTATTCAGCTATTTCAGGACATCAAGGCTATACATGTTTTTTTAAACCTTTTCTTTTAAATATTAAGCTTTTTCTGCATTTTTTTAGATAAAAGCAGCTACCATTCAGCTAATAACATATTCAGCTTTTTCTGCATTTTCAACTAAATTCAGCCACAAATGTTCACAGTTTACAGCATTCACACGCATTTTCTGCAGGAAATGCATTTTCTAGTTACTATTTGTTCATCCATGTGACGTCCCTGCAGCTACATGTGCTGATAGTTTAGCTTCTCATGAGGAGGAGGAGGAGGAGGAGGAGGAGGAGGAAGAAGAGGAGGAGGAGGAGGAGGATGAAGAGGAAGAGGAGGAGTTGTGGAGGTCTGGGGGTGTTGGTGTTATTCTGGGAGTCCCTGCTCCTCCTCACTCTGACAGTGTTAGTGTTGGCTGCAGGAGGAGGCGCGCTCCTTTGGTTCCGTGTCTCTGCAGGAGGAGGCGCGCTCCTTTGGTTCCGTGTCTCTGCAGGATGAGCGCTGCTGGGGTTTCTGAGGAGAGACTCAAATAAAGAAGCTGCTGTGTTTCACTGCCTCTGCCCGAGCCTCACGGTACGTCTCTGATTTATACATTCTATATGATATCATGATATAAGAGTTCATCTGGAGTCATATGGGATTATATTAGAGAGTTGCATCTGGAGTCATATGGGATTATATTAGAGAGTTACATCTGGAGTCATATGGGATTACATTAGAGAGTTGCATCTGGAGTCATATGGGATTATATTAGAGAGTTGCATCTGGAGTCATATGGGATTACATTAGAGAGTTGCATCTGGAGTCATATGGGATTATATTAGAGAGTTGCATCTGGAGTCATATGGGATTACATTAGAGAGTTGCATCTGGAGTCATATGGGATTACATTAGAGAGTTGCATCTGGAGTCATATGGGATTATATTAGAGAGTTACATCTGGAGTCATATGGGATTACATTAGAGAGTTGCATCTGGAGTCATATGGGATTACATTAGAGAGTTGCATCTGGAGTCATATGGGATTACATTAGAGAGTTGCATCTGGAGTCATATGGGATTACATTAGAGAGTTACATCTGGAGTCATATGGGATTACATTAGAGAGTTGCATCTGGAGTCATATGGGATTATATTAGAGAGTTGCATCTGGAGTCATATGGGATTATATTAGAGGACACACTCATGAGATTAGAGGAGAGCATTTATGAGAAACAATTCTGAAATGATCTGAAAATTAAATCACACATTTCTGGGAAAGAACCATCGCTTTCTTAAACACACCAGTTTAACGTCATTTAGCATTAAAAACAACACGCGGTACATTACACTTGTACTAGTACCTTTTATGTACTTGTACATTACCTGAGTATTGCGCTGATCTTTGAATCAGGGGATAGCAGGTTCAAACCCCGCTGCAGTCAGCATGTCGTTGTGTCCCTGAGACAAAGTGCTCCTGGGGGGATTGCCCATGTTCTGAGTTTGTGAGTCGCTTTGGATAAAAGCGTCTAACAAGTAACATGTGATGTCATGTAGTGGAGATCACATTAAACCAAGTACTTGTACATTACCTGAGTATTTCAGTTTCATGCCACTTTACATTTCTACTACATTTATTTTAAAGCTTTAGTTAATGTTCAGATTAAGATTAAGAAATTAAAGGTGATTTATAGTGCAATAACTGTTTGAGGTACAGAAAGATCAAATGATTCAATATATTACAAACTAAGAACAGAAATGAACCCTCAGGCTATCAGACTACTGAGCACCTGATCCCTCAGGCCATCAGACTACTGAGCACCTGATCCCTCAGGCCATCAGACTACTGAGCACCTGAACCCTCAGGCTATCAGACTACTGAGCACCTGATCCCTCAGGCTATCAGACTACTGAGCACCTGATCCCTCAGGCCATCAGACTACTGAGCACCTGATCCCTCAGGCTATCAGACTACTGAGCACCTGATCCCTCAGGCCATCAGACTACTGAGCACCTGATCCCTCAGGCCATCAGACTACTGAGCACCTGATCCCTCAGGCCATCAGACTACTGAGCACCTGATCCCTCAGGCTATCAGACTACTGAGCACCTGATCCCTCAGGCCATCAGACTACTGAGCACCTGAACCCTCAGGCTATCAGACTACTGAGCACCTGATCCCTCAGGCTATCAGACTACTGAGCACCTGATCCCTCAGGCCATCAGACTACTGAGCACCTGAACCCTCAGGCTATCAGACTACTGAGCACCTGATCCCTCAGGCTATCAGACTACTGAGCACCTGATCCCTCAGGCCATCAGACTACTGAGCACCTGATCCCTCAGGCTATCAGACTACTGAGCACCTGATCCCTCAGGCCATCAGACTACTGAGCACCTGATCCCTCAGGCCATCAGACTACTGAGCACCTGATCCCTCAGGCTATCAGACTACTGAGCACCTGATCCCTAAGGCCATCAGACTACTGAGCACCTGATCCCTCAGGCTATCAGACTACTGAGCACCTGATCCCTCAGGCCATCAGACTACTGAGCACCTGATCCCACAGGCCATCAGACTACTGAGCACCTGATCCCTCAGGCCATCAGACTACTGAGCACCTGATCCCTCAGGCTATCAGACTACTGAGCACCTGATCCCTCAGGCCATCAGACTACTGAGCACCTGATCCCTCAGGCCATCAGACTACTGAGCACCTGATCCCTCAGGCCATCAGACTACTGAGCACCTGATCCCTCAGGCCATCAGACTACTGAGCACCTGATCCCTCAGGCCATCAGACTACTGAGCACCTGATCCCACAGGCCATCAGACTACTGAGCACCTGATCCCTCAGGCCATCAGACTACTGAGCACCTGATCCCTCAGGCCATCAGACTACTGAGCACCTGATCCCTCAGGCCATCAGACTACTGAGCACCTGAT